CAATTTGGCCTCAAGAGAATTACTTTCTAAATTATATTTTACTTGGGCTAATATAAAAATTGCATTGTATTGTTGAGCTCGCGTGTGGAGAAAGCAGAAGGCAGAGGTCCCAGGGTGCACTGCATTGCAAGAAAACCAGCCTAGGCTTTGAAACTGCCTTGGGTGATCTAAAAGTGGATAATAGAGAAATGGAAATGCTTAACTGTTTTTCTTACAAAATATAAAAACCAGATTGATGGGACTGTTTCATAATCGCTTCAAACTGAAAATGTCTAAAAGCCAAACCAATTATGTAGCCTTCAAATCAGCTCCCTCTCCTGAAACCTGTATTTCTCATTACTCTTGTCCCTAAGCCAGGTGGAGGGAAGCAGAAACGGAGGCAGACTGGAGAGGACACATCCTATCCACAAAAGGACTTTGTAGCTCATTTCCTTGGCTGGAGTTTGCTGATGTAGCCAGATCTGGGTTTTCCCTACAAACCACAAACCCTTATTTCTATGTATAACTCATGACTTTAAACTATTGGGCCGAACTGAACACAGATTCATCCCATCGCTTTTAATCCTTGCCTATTGTAAACTTGGACTTCTCCAGCTTCCCATCAAATGGAACCAGTTCTGATAATGTTATCCCTTCTGCTGTCCCTCTTCATCCATTGCCTTCATCTATACTCTCATTGTATCATATCTGCATGATTAGAACAGTTTCCTGTCTTCTCAAAGCATGCACAGTCACCAGATTTATCTTTCTAAGCAGTTGCTTCCCAACTTTACCTTGCATCAGAATCACCTGGGGATGCTAGTTGTACCACAAGTCCCACACCCAAGCATTTTTAAATTTAATGGGTTTCAAATGGGGCCTGATAATTTGCATATCGACAAGCTCCCAGATGAGGTAGATGATGGTGTTTCAGGGACTATATTTAGAGAAATAGTACTCTCAAATATCACCCCCACTTTCACCCCATTCAGTGATTCCCCATTTCCTCCACATTAAACTTAAATATTCCTCCCCAGACTAGAACTTTAGGTTCTTATAACCTGGTCTCTTCCTCTCACCCCACAATAACATTTCTCTGATCTCCTATGAAACCTTCTGACTTCAGCCAAACTGGTCTGCTTGTGTATTACCCAAGTGCATTATATGCTCCCACCTTCTTGCCTTGATCAGGTGTAGAATGTCTTTCCTCTTTCTTTCTCTTGTTCAAGTAACTTTTTCATGGAGTACACCCCAAACCCATATCTTAAGTGAAGCCTGCCCTAATCAGATTATCCCTGATCTACTCTCTCTTCTGGATTCCTATAGCATTAGCTCTCCAGGTTGCTTGGGGTAAACTAGAGGGTGAGGTTAAGGGAGAGAGATCAACCAAAGGACCTGTATGCATGCATGTAAGCCTAACCAATGGACACAAACACCAAAGGGATGAGGGGATGAGTTGGGGGTGGGGGTGATATGTAATATCTTAATCAATAAATAAAATTAAAAATAAAGTTCTTAGCATTTAGAAATAAGAGTCATACTCAGAGTCTCTAATGAATCATAATGTATCTATGTTTTCCAATGGTCTTGAGTTCTACAGCATCAGTTCTCAACCTGCAGGTCGGGAGGAGACGCACAGGTTGAGAACCGCTAGTAGGGTCATCTAAGACTATCGGAAAACACAGATATTTACATTACGATTCATTAACAGTAGCAAAATTACAGTTATGAAGTAGCAGCAAAAATAATTTTATGGTTGGGGGCCACCACAACATGAGGGTCGCTGCATTAGGAAGGTTGAGAACCACTGTGTTAGAATATGCACAAGATGATGTGGCACTGTCGGAAAGAGGTATCTCACCTGGGCTGGAGTTGAATATCAGGGAGGGCTCCGCAAAAGAAACACTTAAGATGAATCTTGAGGGACATTGTGAAACAGTAAGAAAGGAAATAGGATGCTGAAGAGGAGAAAGCACTTGCAAACTTTGAGGAAATGTGGCACATTGGGGAAGTATCGGTGATTCCTGACTACTAGAATACAGAATAATATTGGGAAATGGAGCTGCTAAATATGTACTTTTTGAAATGAATGAACCCAGGTCATGGAGTAACTAGTAAAAATAATGAATAAGGGAAGAAAAAAGTAATCAAGAGCATATAACTTAAAGGCAAACTGATGACATTCTCTTCATGAAGATAGAAAATGCAGTAGAAAGTGAAAGGCTGAGATTGTTTTTGAAAGAAACTAACACTGAGACAACTATGAAACATCCACCGAAGAATCAGCAGGTAGTTGGACATAAGGGTCTGGAGCTCAGGCAGTAGTAAGAATAGGAGAGGTGGCCGAGACCGGTTTGGCTCAATGGATAGAGCGTCGGCTTGGGGACTGAAGGGTCCCGGGTTCGATTCCGGTCAAGGGCATGTACCTTGGTTGCGGGCATATCCCCATAGGGGGTGTGCAAGAGGCAGCTGATCGATGACTCTCTCTCATCGATGTTTCTAACTCTCTATCTCTCTCCCCTCCTCTCTGTACAAAATCAATAAAATATATTTAAAAAAAAAAAAAAAGAATAGGAGAGGTGGTTGAAGCCACAAGTGTACAGGGATTGCTCAGGAAGAATATTCTGAGTGACAAGCCAGAAAATAGCGAAGGAAGTGGAAAAGAGAGAGTGGGAGAGAGAGAGGGAGGGAGAGTGAGAGTGAGAGTGAAAGAGAAGATATCAGAAAAGCAGTCAAGAGATAAAGTAATATTGTGGCTTGAAAAATGTCCACTATGTTTGATAATTAGTCAACTATTTGTGACCTTAACAAGTTCCATTTCTATACTAGCAAAAGCCAGGTTAAAATGGTTGGTGGGGTGAATGAAAGATGAAGAATTACAGTTAGGAGGGAATATAAAATACTCTTTAAGGAAAATTGACTCTAAGAAACAATTAGCTAGAAGTGGACAAAGAGACAGAACTTGTTTCATTTGGTTTTAATTTTTCAGGATACAAGACTTAAACATGTAAATATGCTTAATTCTTTGAACTTTTATTTCCCTACCTATAAAGTAGAGATAATAAGGCTCCTTCTGCTTGGTTCCTTGGGTCGCTGTCAGAACAAATCAGATGACATATGTGAAAGATTCTAATCTAAGTACTAAGTAAAGGGCAAGGTTATTATGTATTTATAAATGTTGAAAATAAGGAGTTATTAAAGTCAAGAGTCCAGTGAAATATGGTTGGCTATAAAATCAAGAAAAAAAATATGTAATCAGTCTAGATCTAGAAATATTCATAAAAATGTCTTCTTAATATACACTACAAGTTGCTGACCCCAATTCTTAGAGGCTAACAGCAGATTTCTAAGTCCTATGCTGGACAAAATTTTTCTGGGGCTCCTGGGTTATAGTCTGGGTTTCCAAACGTCTTCATTACACCAGAAAAAAAAGAAAAGAAGCCAATTAATCCTGGCATTCGGCAGTGCATTAAGTCATCTGGGAATTTATTAGTCTTATGAGGAGTAGTTCTTAAATAAATGTTGCTGGCAATCACCCAGTTTCCCAAAGCAAAACACTAGCTCCATAATTTAAGTCTCATGACTAGTGAAATCATGGTGAATGGCATCAACTTTCTCTGTATGTTATTCTAAGGGGTGAGTGAGGCATTCTGGGACATAAGCTAGCCATTTTAAGTCTTCTGAGAAGATTTACCATCCAACAGAATATGGTCTAATGATTATTCCACTAGCCACCAAACCTTTAAAGTCTCTACCAAAGAACATTATTTCTAGCACTATGACATGAGTGGACTAGACTTTCTCTCATAAAACTTCTAACAGGTGGTCTTCACATGTCCCATCTCCTTCCCCTGGGAAGATATTTAACCCCCATAAAAGAAAAATGTCCCTTTCCTCCTTCTCTGCACTTTTGGACAACTCCTTCTGACTTGATTTCCTACTTGCTAATGTACCCTCCTCAATTATTTTATTTTCAAGGGTGTAGGGTGCTAATAAAGTTCAAGTAGCTATGTTTCCAGCTCCAAATAGTAATTGTGCAGAATAAGCTTTCCTTTACAGTAGCTAACTAAAGACCTGGTCTTGAGAACCAAATACACTCTACTTGCAATTATTTTTGCATTTCTTTCTCTGAAAGAGATCAGGCTATAATGCTAAAATGGTGCTCCATGTATCCATGTTTCTCCAATATTTTATCCTTAATGTGTGGCACTACCATATGTAGCTATTCAAGTAGACAAAATGTCTGCACGTCAATTTTTAGACCTTTTTTATCCACTGAAATGATGAATTTCATCCTAAGACTGAGGGTCAATAAAGCACTTTGCAAATTACTGCCATCAGAACCACAAAGAAAAAGACAAGACTTAGGTTGCCCTCACATCATACCGCCAAACGTTTATACAGACTTTTATAAATGATCAGTGTCTTTCAGAAGTTTACCTCATTTATCCTTAAAAGAATTTTGTAAATATTTTTTACTCAGCATCACCCATTAGTAGAAGAGAATGCCAAGGCCCAGAGCGTTTAAGAACATTTGTCAAGGCCACACAGTTTTTCAAGGGCTGAGCCAGTACTATATCCAACATCCTCTACCTGCTCAATTCTGCACCATACATGTTATCCACTTGGTTTTTATTTCACTTCTCTGGCAACAATGGAAAGAGCCTGGCTTTCTCTGAAGTCATCCAAAAGTCTCTGATGGGACACAGACGTGAAGTCCGTTCTCCCACTAATGAAAATACATAATATATTGGTTATATAAGGAATGTTACATGATCATCACAAGTGTAGAAAGCTTTTTAAAGGAATGCACAAATGATGCCTAGAATCCTGAAAAGGCCAGATTAGATATTACAAACAAATGACCAAATGTGGGGTAGGGGAAATTCCATGAGCTAACAGGTTTGTTTGTTTTTTTTTTCACTTGAATGGTTTGTTTTCATTTCCTAAGGACTTCTCTTTCATGGAAAACTCTGTTTTAAAAAAAAAAAAAAAAAATTTAAAGTAGTATCATGACAAACCTGTAAATGGAGAAGGAAGCCACCGATCGAATGAGGGATGCCAAAGCCCCCACTTTGGCAGCTTCCACTGCCCCCTGGGTTCGGTATTTCACTGTGGTGGAGTAGTTGGCATAAGGCTGATTGTAAACAACAATCTTCCCTCTTGCTTCTGGGGCCCTTCTCTGCAGTTCATCGAACGAGGTCACCACCAGAACTTCTGCTGTAATGCCTAGAAATAAAAGTCATGTGAGATTAACTTATAGTTTCCGATCAGCCAGGTTGGACGGGCACACGAAGGTCACATACGCTCTATCTGCTCCATCTGGAAAACTGTTTCAGTAGATCAAAGTGTTACAGCCATTTGCCATGGGAGAAAGATTGTGGGGGTTAGCCAGTCTCCCAAGAGAGAGAGAAAAGGCATTCAAAAATGTAACATACAACTCATGAGGTTTTTCGACTCCCTAGACCAGCTGGTATTAAATTGCAAATGGCTTGAAAAGATAGTAGGTTTTTTTTTCCCCTTCTTTCCCACCCTAAAAAGTCACGAGTTTCACAGAATGACGAGAATTATTTAAAAAGAAAATGCATTTTAGGAGGCTCCCATTGGGATTAATGAAACATATACTTATCTTTTCATAAAACTATTTTGATATGTTGTTATACAACTTTCCTTCATGATATCATACAAAGGATGGCCATTTATAAAGAATGTGCTCAGAAGCCAATGATGTTCACTAACTTGTCCACTGTTGTTAATCCTCACCAGAGGATATTTTTCCATTGGCCTTCTGAAAGAGTGGAAGGGAGGGGAAGAGACCCAGAGAGAGAAACATCAATGTGAGAGAGACACATAGATTGGCTGCCTCCTGCATGTGCCCCTACCAGGGCTGGGAATCAAACCTTCGGTGCCCTTGACCAAAATTGAACCCAGGACTCTTCAGTCCTTGGGCCAATACTCTATATATCCACTGAGCTAAACTGATTAGAGACACTTTTTAAAATATATATGTTTTTATTGATGTTGAGGGAGACACATGGATTGGCTGCCTCCTGCATGCCCTGACCTGGAATCGAATCAGGGACCTCCTGGTTCATGGGTTGATACTCGAATCACATCTGCTGGGGTGATCTTCATTGGCTTTTAACAAATAAGTCAAAGCAACCTTTCCTAAGAACCACAAAATGTCAGCTTGTTTTCTTTCCTCCTTTGTACCAAACATTCTTACAGGGTGTGGAAATTTCCCAGGCTTCTCAATTTACAGTACTTGTTCACACCAACTACATCACGATTCTTCACATAAAAGTTTTGAAGATTCTGTGTAGCTGTCCTATGATCCTGTTGTCTCATTTAGACGAGGCATGCTATCTTTCCGCAGACCACAAGTCTTGCTTGAATTTCCTGATTAGGGAACAGGGTTTCACAAGTTCTGAGAAGTCATTCAAAAACTGCCAGACCACTGAAGATCCAATTTTATGGAGCAGTTATAGTAACAAACAAACAAAAAATATATAAAAATATAAAAAAAGTATTTAGCAACAACGGCCAGATGCAGTGGCTAAATATAACTGCCTAAAAGAAAGTGGCAGGCACCTACTGTTTTGTGGCTACAGACACACAGTCATGAAATATGTCAGTTAAAAACCAAAGTATCGGCATATATTTGGCATCCTTCCTTAATCTTGCAAACTAGAGAGTTGGTTTTTTTCTGGAAGTTTAACAGCTGTCATTAAAATATTCACTGTTACTTGGAAAATTCTTTTAAAATACACTGCAGTTATAAGAGAATTCCTGCTTTCAATGTAGATTCCATCACCATGGGCCCTCCGGGCAGGCTCTTCTCCTACTCTATTTCCACCACCATCCAGGCTGAATTTTTACTTTCACATTAAAGTGATTGATTGCAGATCTGTAAGAACGTCTCCGCTAACATTCAGATCTCAACATGGAATTTATAATCTAAGAAAAGCAACATGCAATTATGGAAAGTAAGGAAGCCACTACTTTTTCACATGGTAAATATGTGCCGAAATACAAGCAAGGGTGCAGCTAGACAGAGTTGGAGAATCATAACTTTCTGAAACCTAGTCACCTTGAAATTTGACTGGCATTAATATTGGCATAGCATGAGAATTTTGTTGATGGTTTTCAGCTGTCCCTAATGAAAAACAGATTCAATGGTTTACCTAAGAGGCGTCCTAGCAATGGGGTAATTTTGGCATCTGGATTGGAGCCACTAGAAATGAAGCCAAATTTCTATAAATTTTTATAAGCCACTGCAAAATTAAAGTCATACAAGGGTGGTATTTCTCTCTGGTCTATGCTGCAAGTTCTTTTAACAAATAACAGAGTGCTGAAGAGCCGAAACCTAACATAGACACCACAGTTGCCAATGCAAATCACTACTACCGTGTTTCCTCGAAAATAAGACCTAGCGCAAGGAAAGATGAGACATCCCCTGAAAATAAGACCTAGAGCAACTTTGGGAGAAAAAAATTAATATAAAACACTGTCTTATTTTTGGGAAAACAGGGTAATAGCCATAGGTCAAAACCTCATCATTAACTTGGAAGAAAAGTTCAAATTAATCTGTTTTTCTGAAAGCTACACATCATTTCCGATTCTTTTGTCTCCTTCATCCTTGTGTCTAGTAAATCCTCAAACACTAATAATATTGATTGAACCCAAGGCCCCTATTCTCCCCCATTATACTCCCTCACATCAGGCCCCTATCTGTCTTTTGAACTGGTAGAAATCTCTCCCCCACCAGTCACCCACCACTATTGCTGCCCCAATCTCCAGTCCAGGCCCCTCCATTAAATGTCAACAGAGCTGCCAGCCTGAACTATTGGGACTGCTGAATCAGTAGAACAGCCACTTACCCTCCACCTTACCCCTCTTCATTTACATACCAAAGGCTGTCTATCTCTATAGACACTGGATCTCTTTGCTTTCAAAGCCCATCAATAGTTCCCTTAAAAATTCCCACTCCCCATGCAAGTTCACTTCTGTGTCTTTGTTGACACTATGGTACATCATGTCATGTTGACCCTATTCTCCCAACTTCATCATGTGTAAAACACCTACTTATTCCTCAGGGTGCCATTTAAAAATCACTCCTTTAGGAAGCATTCCCTGGCGTCTGGCCTCTTGTCTCAGCTCTTCCTCCCCGCCCCAGGGAGGGCTGATTCATGCACCACCCTTCTCTGGACTTGGAGAGTGTCCTGGGCAGACCTGGGCCTTGGGTGGTGAAGCTCTGCCTATTAAGACTCTCTCAACTGTGTTCTCCTCAGGGTTTGGGGCCATGTTCATTTTTGTTTGACTCTCCAGGGCCTACCACAGTGGCTCGTGTATGTGTAGCACTTAGTCAATAAATACAGGATCCTTGGCTGGAGCTAAAGCCTTTCCATAAAAGTGCAATTTTACCCTTAAAGTTTGCTAGCACTTCTCCGTCAACAACTCCGAAGTCTGATCCCCCTGCCACCAGGACACAGCTGCACAACAATAGCCAAGCATGAATGGCCTTGGGCGGTCAGAATAGAAGTACAAGTGCCAAGTGTGAAAACTCAGAAAGCTCTTTTTCTCTCTCTTAGAGCCTAGTGTCCCTTGCTCTTCACAGAATTTGAAAGCTAGTTATTAACCCTATAAACTATGAGAAACAACAATTCAAAGGAAGAGCCAGGTTTGGAAGAGGATAGCAACCGTACAAGAAGACAACAGGTAGAATAACATGTGCCAATAGAATTGTATGTCATGTTGGCAGTGTTCTATCTCCATGATAACTCAGTCACCATTAGACACTCGGGGCTGCTGAAAACTTTCAATGAAACTAATGTGATCAGAAACTGGATTTTTAATGTCATTTACTTTAATGAATTTATATTTAAATTTAAATAGCATCTGTGTGTAGTGGCTGCTCTGTGGAACTCATGATCCCCACAGGCTCAGGCATTATGCAGGCAAATGGCTGCAAGCCTTCCTGCCCGCCCCGAGGGGCCTGGCTTCCTGACAGCTCCATGACCCAGTGATGGCTCCATGACCCAGTGACACCAGGGCCATGACCTCCCGCAGAGGTCACGGACCAGGTGGACCCGACTGCACATACTTCATTGGAGAAGAGGGGGTGTGTACTAACACTTAAGGAAGACTTTTGCTCCAGTTGAATAAAATAAAACTAGGCCATCTGGAAAACCTCACTCTTCGATGTTAGTTTGTGTTTGGACACGTTACACAAAAGAAATGCTCATGCTGCCTGCAAATCAGCAGCGCCACTGCCCTCCTTTCTTCTTGTCTCCCTTCTTCCCTTTCCCCCATTCCCAAAAATAGTGCATGGGAACCTCTAAGAACTCAAAACTAGTGTCAGATTCGCAGCAAGGCCTGCCCTGACCTCCCTCCCTATTTTATAATTGCAAACCTCTCCCAACTCTTGCTTAACTTTTCCGCGGAATTTATCAGCTTCCAGCTGCGTCCACTGCAATGTGAGCTCATGGCGGGTGGAAATGTTTGTCTGTTTTATTCCTGAATGTAACCAAAGTGACTGAAATGGTGCTTGACACACATACCCTCATAGGCACAAATACACACGCACACATGCATGTACTGAATGAATGAAAATAAACCAAAAACGTATAAGTATAGTAACACCCCATCCATGGTCACACTCCAGAAGTGTGTGCTTTCCAAGGAAACTATTTCTGGGTATTCTGTCAGAAGAATGGAATGACAATAATGAAAGAAATCATAGCTAGATTGAGTATCTCTTGTTTACAGTCATGTGCACAGGAACTTTGCAAGGGAGTTCCTGGGAGGAAACGGAGGGGCTGAAAACAAGTTTACACAACCATGAGGCGGTGAAGCCCGGATCTGAATGACTGGTTTTCTGAATCCAAGAGTCATGCTCCCCCTACTAACTGCATTGCTGTTCTCAAAAACGTAAAAATGTGTCAAATAAAATCTAGGTGGTTTTATTTTAAGAGGATTGACGAGGAAAAATACAACAATATATAAAAACCCACCTAAGTTATCAGGTTTCGTTCTTAGTCTACCCCGGATCCTGCTCATGCACCAGGATGCTGTTATCACACCAGGTCCCAATCTATTCATAGGGCGGGGAGGGGAGCGGCACCCCAGGACGAGAGTCAGCAGACTGTTGGAGTAATGAAAAGGATTATGGTTGGTAATTCTAAAGAAAATCTAAAGGACTGGTGCTACTGTGTTTCCCCGAAAATAAG